AAAGTGGTCAAGACCATGGTGGTGATTCCCACAGAAGCAGCTGGCCTATGCAAGTGAGAGCCCACTGACTCTGGACTGATAGCAAGGGAATCTGTGTAGGACCAAACGAGGCCCACAGAATGTGGGGAATATGTGAGGCATAGGCAGTCAGCGACATCACTGACAGTGGAACCAGAATTCATTCCTAGTGCTTGAAATGGCATCTTGGAGCACACTCTCTTTGGAGGATTACCTTGCTCACCCTAGATATAAGGGGGGAGGGCCTTAGTCCTGCCTTGAAGTGATGTGTCAGATTTAGTTTACTCTCAAAAGGAAGCCTTACCTTCTCCGAGGATGGGGAGAGTAGAGTGGTAGAAGGGTGGGGTGGGAGGAAGGGAGGGAGGGAGCAAGGGGAAAACTATGAAAAATGAGAAAAGATTGCATTAAAAAAATAAAAGAGCCGAAATCCCTCTATAACTAGTCTGATAGCACATATCTGCCTATTTAAAGCTTTCTTAATTTCTTCAGTCATTTGTAACTCTTTGTCATCAAACCATGGATCATTTACATGCACTGGAAATGTTACAAAAGATTGCTTTAACAGATGGGTATTATCATCCCTTTGAGAAATACACTTAGTCAAAGTGCAATTATAACATGATACATTAAACACAGAAATTATCCACAGAAATATTCACCTTTCCCACTTAAAGAACTTAAGACATTTAAAAATAACCTTAAGCAGTTCTTTTTAGGGGAAAACAGATTTTGAAGAACTGGATTATTGTCGCTGTTCTTGTTGTTTTGATCCTTTTGAATTTTTTCTTTGTCTTCATTTTCAAAGTATTTTTAAAAGACTTTTTTATTTTATGTGCATAATGTGTCTACATTTGTAGCAGGGAGGCTGCTAGTTTGTTCCAGGCCACTTAGCCCTGAAATAATCACACATAAACTGTAATAATTAAATCACTGCTTGGCCCATAGCTCTAGCTTCTTATTGGCTAACTCTTACATATTAATTTAACCCTTCTCCATTAATCTGTGTATCGCCGTGTGACAGTGGCTTGCTGGCTAAAGGTTCGGCATGTCTGACTCTGGTGTTGGCTCCATGGTGTCTCTCTAACTCCACACTTCTTTCTCCCAGCATTCAGCCTAGCTTACCCTTTCTACCTAAGTTCTGCCTTGCTATAGGTCCAAAGCAATTTTTTTTTATTTATTAATGGTAATCACAACACACAGAGGGGACTCCCACATCACCTCCCCTTTTCTGTTTAAATAAAAAGGAAGGCTTTAATTTTAACATAGTAAAATTACATATAACAAAACAAGTATCAAACAAGAATTACAGTTACAATATTTATATCTATTTTACCTTTTATCAAAACTAAGGACAACTATAACTATCAATTCTTCAAGTCAATCAAAGACCCCAGAAAGATATAATATTACCTAAGTAAACAGGAAGTACATTGCAAGCACCTTCCAAAACTCTAGAATTGACAGAGACTTCTCGCTGCCTGTTACCCCAAATTCTTCTATACTGTTAGGGTTTCCATCTTCAGCCGAGAGGCCCATAGTACCTAGCAGACTTTTCCACAAAGCAGAAAGTTTCAAAGACAGTTCTGCCTATATTGGCAGTTTGTCAGTCCCTTTTTTATTCTGTGTCCTGAGGAATGTCTAGCAGACTCTTTCATGAAGCAGAAAACCTGAAGGATCATCTCACCTTTATGCAAGCTCAGCAGTTATTTCTCTGTGGGTACTAAATGTCCAGTTAAGCAGTCCAGGCAAGAGCAGTTTCTTGCCCAAATGGCTAACAAACTCCATAAGGAGCCTCTTTGATGTCCATCTTCCTCTTGAAGTAGCTTGGTGCTGCCAGGAGCAGATGTGTCTTATTGTCATAAAAAGTCTTAAGCTCTTAAAACATTTTAAATGCCATATTCTGGTAGTCTTTGAAAGATTTGAAGAATACCCATCTAACTGAAATATGTGTGTGTATATTTATATACATAAAGCATAACTAACATGACTACAAGCTTGACTATTATAGATGATTATCAATTAACCTATATTTATTAATTTATGCATTATATTTTAAATTAACTACACAATCATAATACCTTAATCAAGAGCAGAAATATACATATAACAGAATTGACCTTAAATTTGTATCAATAAACCAAGATTCATACCAATGCAAATCTCTATAACACATCCCCTTTTAAATGTAAACAAACATTTATAGACAACATTAGGGAATATGGAAATAGTTTTCTCCATACTGCTTCCTGCTGATTGGGGGCACTATTAATCATATATTTCATGGTGTATCCTGTGTGCTAGGTTCAACTTAGTCAGCAGTTAGGTGAAGTAAATTTTGAGGGTGTTCACGGCAACCTTTCAGAGGGGCATGGTCCATCAAGCCATATTAGCCTGGAATGAATTCACAGGTTCTCATCTTCTGTGGAGACAAAAGAAGAACCTCTTTTCCAAAGCAACATATCCTTAAACTCAAATTCTGAAGTCAAGATACCTTTATAATAGACATGCTGGTTTAGTTTAGCAACCCATTCAATGAAATGTCTCTCTGTACTTAGCTCCTTCACAGTAAAAAAAAAATCAAAGAAAACACAATAATATACATAATCCAAACTCTCTATGTCTTTCCCATTTTTATGTGGCTTTTTTCCTTTACTCCTTTTTTCTATGAGTATCTGTACTCTATTTCTTTAAAGACTTTACACATTTTTAAAGCATTAACCTTATTTTATGACTCTCTATACTCGTTTTCTTCTCTCTTCCAAGCCTATATACATTTATCTAACGCTATGACTCATCTGGATTTGTCCTTATTGCATATTTGTAATTCTTCAGTGTCCAGGAGTGATTTTTAAAATGCTAAGTGCTTTATAAAACTTAAGCTGCACCATTACTATGATATATATGGTACTTTCTACTTGCCCCACCCAGTTCAGCATGGTGGAGCCACTTGTGCCTCTAGGCCATGTACACCACCCCACTTCTAGGCACACAGACAGTCCAAGTTGCTACCAAGCAAGCTGTAGCATGCTGCTTACAAACCCCATTCAAATGCTTGGTTTCCCAAAACATCAGAGTTCAAGCTAGCAGCACGGCCCATGGCTGTGAAGCAGCTGTTTTGAAATGGCACTGCTGCTGCCTCTGAATCAGCAAGACCTCTCTTAAAGGAACTGCAACATGCTACTTCAAACAAAATCCATTTGGAAAAAATGTGGCTAAATATTGTTTTTTAGTATCTAGAATTTCTTTCCAAGCCCTCTCAGGTTTTACAGAGACTTAGTCCACTACATTGGCATCAATCAGTTGGCTATGTCTGTTATACTACTTGTGTGCCTGATTCCCATGAATGAGAGAAAATAGCATCAGATTCTCCTGGAACTGCTGATAGACAGTTGTAAGCCACCATGTAGGTATAGGTAATCAAATCAGAGCTTCTGTAAGAGAAACCAATGATCATAATCACTCAACCATCCCTCCAGTCCCTATTCAGGGTGTATTTTGCTTTTGGTCTTTGTATGGTTGGTTTCTTTTGTTTTTGATTGAGAAAAATCATGAAATTGGGTGAGTTGAGAGGTGGGCAGGATCTTGCTGATGTTAAGGGGCTGAGAAAAAGCATAATAAAAATATATTATGTGTGAAAAAACAAAAAGAAAGTAGGCTCATAGAGGATATTTATAGAATTAACTTAAGATCAAACAAAGGGATAAAATATATCCAAGAAGTGACATCAAGGAAAAATAATGTCAGGTCAGTATATATGTTATGTGTTAAATATCATATATGTGTCAATGCAAAAACACAACTCTCTTTGAAAGGGATAAAAGAGTGACACTGTGGACCAAATATGAATGAGTACATCCCAGAACCTGAGATTTTGCCTATGCCAAATCTCATGTTCCTATGTTATATCAGTTTCCTGCAGTGTTATACTCACAAAAAGAAAAAAAATTATACATCATGACATTTTACATCAGATGGAGGGTCACAGAAAGGTGGAAAAATCTCAGCTATGGATCTCAGATCCTATCAGATGGCAGCATAAGATTTTTGATTGTCAGAAAATGGGAATTTTTGTACAGTCCAAAGACTATACTTAATGCTCACAAAGTCATTGCTCACAAATAGTGAGGACAGTAAACAGTTATTAGAAGGATGAGCAAAGGCCCTGAGTGATTTGACTCAGAACCAGCAACATTTTTTGCACCACATGACTGAAGTTCTATTCATTTGATTAGCCTTTGTAGTAACAACCCCTGTCCAGCAAATTTCATCCACATGTGTATATATGTATGTATGTAGGTAGATAGTTTAATATGTTATACACATGGAGATGAATTTAAAATAGCCTAGTGTAACTCCTTGTGTACCTATTACTCACTGAACTGTAAGATCTCTGACACTTATCTTTCATTTACTGTTCTTCTGATATTAGAACAAAAGTTATTCTTACATTTACTACTTGAATCATCAAACTTTTTTTATTAAGAAATTTTTAATACGATCTTTTCTCCTTTTACATAACTATCCATATTCCCACTCCCTCCCCTCTGTGAGGTTGGCACCAGTGAACTTTAAGATTCTGTCTTTATCAAGTCTGCCACAACATTGAGTAATATTTTTACAGAGGGAATGAATTGTTCGAAAACAGGTCATATAGTAAGGGTGGAGAATTGCACTGTAATTCTTTGCATTAGCTTCCATATTCTTTTCATTAACTCAATTAAACAAGTTAAAGATGAAGCAAATTGCTCCAAAGGAAGAGAAAATAGAAAACACTTCACTATAGTTCCTATAAATTGTATATCTGACCAATGGCCACATGCAATGGAAATGATTAACTCAGCTTTATTTTCCAGGAGTTGCAGCTCATTTTCCTGGGATGACCATGGCAGGTGGTAAACAAGGTTTCTCAGAAAATAAATGATTAACAGACTAAGTAAAAGAAAAAATATTGGCAGCTTTTTGGTTAGTTTTTAGGAAACAGTTCCCTCCCTAATACCAACAATACAACAGATCACAGTTCTATGACACTAATGTTATGTGAAGACAGTCATATTAAGAAGAGGTCAAGACCAACAATATTTAGTGTATTTCCATCAAACAGAAATTTATTTAAAGGTTTATACTCTCATAGCTATAACCATTTCTATTTCCCATTGGAGACAGTCATTCTGCCTCAATGGCGTTTCAGGATCTCTTGAATCGAGTTGGAAATATGGGGAGATTTCAGATCCTTCAGATAGCTTTCCTTCTGATCTGCAATGCCACATTGACACCTCAGACTGTTTTGGAGAACTTCACTGCAGCCATCCCTGATCATCGCTGCTGGGTCCACGTCCTTGATAATGATACTGCCTCTGATATTGACAGTGGGATCCTGAGCCAAGATGACCTCCTGAGGATCTCCATCCCACTGGACTCTAACTCCAGGCCAGACAAGTGTCGTCGCTTTGTTCAACCACAGTGGCATTTCCTTCATTTGAATGGCACGTTCTCCAATGTGACAAAACCAGACACAGAGCCCTGTGAGGATGGTTGGGTGTATGAAAGAAATACCTTCCTCTCCACCACTGTCACTGAGGTAAGTGACTTCAATAAATTTTCTTCTTCTTCTTCTTCTTCTTCTTCTTCTTCTTCTTCTTCTTCTTCTTCTTCTTCTTCTTCTTCTTCTTCTTCTTCTTCTTCTTCTTCTTCTCCTTCTCCTTCTCCTTCTCCTCCTCCTCCTCCTCCTCCTCCTCCTCCTCCTCCTCCTCCTCCTCCTCCTCCTCCTCCTCCTTCTCCTCCTCCTCCTTCTCTCTCCTCGTCCTCCTCCTCCTCCTCCTGGTCTTATCTCATTCCAAGCCATGGGATTCTAAGATGATTTACAATATCAGATATGACTTTCTGCCTCTGTAGGAAACTTTAAATCCAATCAGAAATGATTGTTTTCCTAGTGCAACAATGACCATACTGCCCTGTAGGTTGGTTTTGTCATATGTAGGATAAAGTGCTAGGTAAGGCCATTGATGTCTTTTCTCCACCTGCAGTCTACACCACAACATCTGGAACTATGAAATGCAGCCAACAAGTAGAAAGTTTCCATTTTGGTTTTACAGTGTTCTCTATGACATGCAAAAATCTTGCATGGTGTCTTCAGGAATAGGGTCTTAACATTTAGTTACAGTAGATAACCATGTGCAATAATGACAGCTTGTATTGTTTTGGATACCTATGAACCTTTCCTGACCAGTAATACATATACTATTATTACATATGTCTAGTACAGAGATTACTCCTTACCATCCCAGGTCTTTGGCAAGAATCACTGGCCACCCAAATATTCTACCCTCTTTCAAGTTCCTTCTTTTAAATTATATTTTAAAATTAGCTTACTCAAAGAGTAAATTTCCATAAGGCTTTATGGCCATGCTCCAGGGAGGTTCTGGAGGTGGGGATTGGAGGGAGGAAAGAGAAGGATGGAAGTGATGTGAATGTATTTTCATTTAAATTTTTAAGAGCAATGAAAAGAATTTGAAAGAGGAGGAAGCATCCTTTTACATGAAATAACAGAAATAGTGATTGGTTACACAAGACCAGCACAAGATCAAGCAATCAAAATTCCAGCATTGATGGGAGCAAAGCTCAGGGCGCCCCACGCTTCATTGAAGATCTGTTAGTAGTTGTTGGTTCCTGGGGGCAGGGACTATTATCTTACTTTAGGGGTAGGCCAGTACTAGGTTACCTATGCTCCAGTGCACGTAAAGGAAACATTATCCAAGCAACAGAAATGCAAAAAAAAAAAAAAAAGAAAGAAAGAAAGAAATTAGAAGGGACATGAAATTTGGAGAGGGATGTGTTTAGGCATCTTGGAGTTTTAGGGGATATAAATGTTTGAGGTTTTCATACTGCTTTCTATACACATTTGAAATTCTAAGAATGAATGAAATAATAATAAGGAAATGTATGTAAAAGATGTGATTCTTTTATTTTATAAATTGCCCATGTGTTGTGCCAAGTCACCATTATGCAGCTTTGACTTCAATTTTAAGATATCTAGAGGGTTGTAGAAAGCTACAGTGATGGCTAAATATGCAGTTCACGACAGAATGCACCTGGAGCACTCAAATACTCAAGTGTTCAAGATTTAGTAATGAGCAAAGTGGGTAGTTTGTAGTTCATTGCATCCAAGCATGAGCCCTAAGTTCCATTCTCTCTATTGACATAACTATACAAGTAAATAAATAAGATAGTGAACAGGTGCTGTCTGTGCTCTGCTCTAAGAGGAGTCATGGAAGAGGTTATGCCCTGGTACATAGGATACAGTAAAAAAAAATAAGGATCATGAATTATTGTATTCTAGGACCTCATTTGACAATTTCTGAACAAAGGTAACAACTCACTACTACAACCTACTTGGATACAGGAACCTCCCTAAGAAAATAGAATTGATAAAGCTGAGACTGGATGGTAGAAGTCAGGTGATAATGAAATGGGAAGCTGGAGAGTAAGGATTTGGAAGTTCACATTGAAAAATTTTGAACAATTTACAGTATAGTGTGTCATCATGATTTCCTTCTCTTCCAGTGGGACCTGGTGTGTGGATCTCAGGTACTGGTTTCAGTGTCTAAATTTATATTCATGGTTGGAAATTTGATAGGACCTTTCCTAGCTGGACACTTATCAGACAGGTGAGTGTCTGTGCTTTGCAGCTCTCTCTGCATGTGAGTATTTTCATCAGCTACAACTCACTCACTCTTTTAAAAAACAGTTCTTACAGATTTGTTCCTTTATCTGCACCTTTGACCCTGGAGATCACTAAACACAAACAGATATTTCTGTTAGTGTTTAAAAGTCTATGTGTTGTGTTGACACAGAACTAATTCTTATTAGACATGGAAGAAGTTCAAGGAAGTTTAAGACAATATGATAGATATGGTTTAGAAAAAGAGAAAAGTTAACCATGGGGATTACACAAAATATTTTTGTGTGCTATTTTTAACAACTGTTTGTTTCCCTGATGGGATCTTTGTCTTTTCCTTAGGTTTGGGAGGAGGTTAACCCTCATATGTGCTTTACTGCTGATGGCCGTCAGTGGGACCTGTGCAGCCATGGCTCCCACCTTCTTCATCTACTGCTTACTTCGCTTCCTAACAGGGCTTTGTGTCATACCCATACACACAAATAGTGTTTTGCTCAGTAAGTCAGAGTTTTTGATGGACATTGTTCAACCTTTTCTTTGATGTGATATCCTTCCCACCCATGGTAGAAATCAAGGTTCATTTTTCTTTCCTTTCAGTGTTAGAATGGACAAGCCATAAATTCAAAGCCTTGGTCACAACACTGTCAATGTGTGCTCAAAGTTTTGGACTCATACTAATGTCAGGCTTGGCATTTATATTTCGAAACTGGCACCACCTCCAGCTGGTAGTGTCTGTGCCAGTATTTTTCCTCCTTATACCCACAAGGTATGAGCGTTCTTTCCTCCTCTGTTTTGCAATCCTGAGATGACCATATCTGTGAAATCAGTACATAAGAAATGCATTTGTCACCATCTCTGTAAGTGCATATATGTGTCAGTCCTGTTGTGTCCAGAAGACAAACTTTAGTTGCTCATGTGGGTGGTATGATTAAGGAAAAATGTATTCAGGGTTCTTAATTTAAGGCACAGATGTAAGATAAACAAGCATTCCTTACAACTGAACAAGAACTATGGAAATTATCTGATGAAATGTCCCTCACAGTCAGTTGTATGACTTCTAGTAAAATCTGGATCCACGTGAGGGGGACAGACCAGTGTGGCTCCAGGTCTACATTCTAGGAATACAGGTGCACCGAATGGCTGGTCATTTCCTGTTTTCCTAGGCAATGTACCTCATGATATAAGATTATACATTCTTGCTATAACTGAATGACTGACAAATATTAAAATTTTAATAAAACTGCTCAATAATAAATTTAGTATATAGTAATATGACTCCTTGAGAAATATGAACAATATCTTCTTGAATAGGTGGCTGTCTGAGTCAGCTCGGTGGCTGATTGTGACCAACAAACCCCAGAAGGGCTTGCAGGAACTTAGAAGAGCTGCACGTATGAATGGAATGAAGAGTTCTGAAGACACCTTAACCATAGAGGTGAGCATAATGCAAGCTCATTATGACATATAGGAAACACAAGGTTCACCAGTTTATGGGTTACTGCCCAAGAGACAATTTCCTTTTATTAAATCATTAAATGCAGTTTTTTCATTCAACGATGACTTTGTAAGAAAAAACCTTCATTGATTATTTCTTTCAATTTTAAACTTTTTATTAGAACATAGAAGCTATACACAATGAATTAAGTCTGAAACTCTATACATACATATATTGTATTGATTCACTTATACCCCCTCAATATTACCATACCTGATGATTCTCATATACTTCCTAACAAGTTCTATTTCTACCTTCTATTACCCTAGTCTTTTTTGGTATCTTTTTTTTCTTTTTTGTGATCTAATTTGTTTAATTAAGGTCATTTACTGAAATGTGTTGAGGATTTAAGAAACATGGGCAACTTACCTATGGGTCCACTACTGAAGAAATGTCTATCTCTCCCTCAACAACCATTAGCTGTCCATATTTCCTCAGGAGGGAGTATGGCTTTGTGAGGCCCTGTGAATTAACAATGACTAACTACACACAGATTGTGAAACAGAGATGGGGCTTATGAGCTCTTCTCTCAGAATTCCATCTACTCTCAAAATTGGTATTTTGACTGTCATAACATTAGCAGGTCTTGTGCAGGTAAACACAGGTGATGAAAGTTCAAAGTTCCAACGTCCAATGCATGTCTGTAAGAAGGAATCACACACTTTCCACCACTTCTCAAGGACCTTACCTTCACCTTTTCCATGGTGTTTCTATAACCTCGAAAGGAGTGAAAAAGACATTTCTCTTAGAGGTGATACTGAATAGTCACTTGCTCTTATTACTTTGACAGTTGCGAGTCTTCAAAGACTGCTACTCAATAAATGCAAAATCTTCTTTATTAAAGCTTCCAGGAGCATTAACCTATGGCTATGGACAAAGACATTTAAAGACTACTTAAATTTCTTTAGTCATCAGAAGATTCTATTATGAGCACTAGATGCCAGATATAGACCTTCAGAATTAAATGTTTTCCCTTCTGAGTTTCAGCCCTGCATTAAGCCAGTTGTTTGTTGTTATATACCTACTCTTCTCTTTTGAAATGGGAATGTTTGTTCTGTTCCCTTGAATACTAGAAGGAAATCATGTATTTCTATATAAAATTTTGAGTTATGAAGGTAAAAGCATTGGTACTATGATTTCCAAAATAAAGAAACATTTCACAGGCTTTCAGAAAAAAAGAGAACCACCTGAGTCTCAGATGAGCCTTGTATTTATATTTACCTATAGAGTCATTATGGTATGACTGGAGTTTTTTTTTACAAGATTCTTTTTTATTTTATGCAATTCATTTATTCTTTTTTATTTTATGCAATTCATTTATTATTTCTTTTTTATTGAAAAAATTTCTGCCTCCTCCCGCCTTCCATTTCCCTCCCCCTTCCCCGTCCTCTCCCCCTCCCCCCACTCCTTTTCCCCTCCTTTTCCAGATTTGACAAGATTCTTAATAACTCTTCACTTGATGGCCGCATTCTGTAGCCACATACTGTTTCGAGGATCCTATCTAGAAAAAGCATGAGTTTCCTTTATCTACTTGGCTCTCACTTCCTATTCCTTTGATTATGCTTTCCTTAGGTCCCCTGATGTTTGTGTTTTTCACTAGATAGAACTAGTAGATACTGCTCTGGTATTCTGTGAGTGCTCAATATTTTGTGAGAACTAAACAGTTCTTGATGCTGTTGCTGAAGGTTGTGAGGACCACCATGAGGGAAGAGCTGGAGGCAGCACAAGTAGAACCTGCTCTGTGTGACTTATTCCGCACCCCCAACTTGCGAAAGCGTATGTTTCTCCTGTGCCTTTTGAGGTAGGCTTCACATGGTGACTCTTAAAATAGTATAGAAATGAATTTTCCCAACAACCAAGTTGAAGATAAAAAATGGGATTTCTATATCTTCTGGCATTCAAGGGGTTTTGAATATAGAAATACAGAACTAACTATACAGTAAGGGGTATGTCTACAGCACCCTGACAGATTTATCAACACAGACTCATGATGAATCTTCAATCATATTCCAGACTTCTCTGTGCTCACCATTTGCCATTTTCCATTTTAAAGGAGACAAAATTTCAAATGTAAACTATACAAGTATATACATTTCAATCAATACAAACAAATGCAAAGTTATAATATCCTCATTTGGAGAAAGCCCAGTTAGGGCCACAGGAGAGTCCAGTTCACTTACAAATAAAAAATTAGTTTCCTCCAAGGGTATTTCAACAGAGAAAAGAACCACCAATCTTAAGGGCAAGTACCATTCTCAACAGTATGTGACCAACACAAATCTTGCTCAATGGTATCTTTGGAGGGATTTTATTCTGTCCCATAATGTTGTGTCAGGGCATTTTGTTCTTTATCTTACAATTCATTTATGTTTACCTTATAGAGTCCTGTATTGTGTTTTTATGGGATACCTGTGTGTGTGAACATGTATCTCTGCATCTATATGTGTTTCTTTTGCTTTCCTTTTTTGTTCCTTTCCTTTTGTTTGTTTATCTTGTCCTATTCTGAATTACTTATGCTTTATCTTACCATAATATATTGTGATTCATTAGATACCTGTGTATTTTCTAATGAGAGACAGTAAGACTGAAGTCCCACATGTAAGGGAAAGTGAAGAAGAACTGGGAGGAGTTGGGGGAGGGGGAACTTATTCAGAATATATCGTATAAAAAATCTATTTTTAATGAAAAACAAAAAGACCACGAAGCTCGGAGTGGTAAGAATGCACTTGTGGGCCTTGGAGAAGTTATGAGAAAGAATTGAGGAAGACTGTCACCAAAAACACTGTATATGATTCTCTTGTATAAACAAAATATTTTTAAAATTGAAAAAAGTTATAATCATTACCAAGTTCAAGTTATAGGAAAAAAAATCTCTAAAAATCTAACTGGATCTATCGTGCCTCCCACAAAGTCTCTACCTCTCCTTAAAATCCAACAGCAATGATCTACATATGATGTACATATGATGTACATCTACATATGATGATTTCATGATCATTATTAAATTATCAGTCAAGTAAATATTCCAAAATACAGATAGGCTATATTATACTTTATCAACTAAAATAAACTTCTGGGGATAATCATATTCTTGTTTTTGGACATGAATTCTAAGTAGTATATGTGACTTTCCTCTTTGTTTCTTACAGATTTACAACAGCGATACCTGCATTTGGATTTATCATCCATCTCCAACACCTGAAAAGTAATGTCTTCCTGGTGCAGTGTCTCACAGCTGCATCAGCCATCCCAGCCTCTTTTGCTGCAATGATTTTGATGAATCGGATTGGCCGTAGAATAAGTCAATTCTTTTTCTCTTTCCTGTTGGGGATCTTCATGCTGGCCACAGTGTCTGCTCCTGAAGGTGAATAAAGAGTTTATGGTGAAAGGGGGAAAATATCCAGTCCCCTTTCTTCAATGCTTTACAGGTCCTTCCTATTGATGAGAAAAAAATACATCCAGAGAATTTTCTGTAACCAGACATTGAGAAATATTCTTCCACTCACATACTGAGAGAAGAGACAAAAATCAGTAAGTTTAGTTTAAATATGTGAAAGTATCTGGAACACGAAGCCATTTATACCAAAGTATCTGCAGGTCAGTAATGGATCATTTGCTCATTGCTTAGTTACATTTTAAATTAAATATAATTACATCATTTTCTGCTTCATTGTCCTCTCTGCAATCACTCTGGAGTATCTGCCCCTACCTCATTCAAGCTCAATGATATTTTCATAGCAGTAATGTATGTTTCAGATACTACAATTACAATCAGAAATGACACTTCGTCTGTCCCACTGAGTCTTGTTGCTTCAACTTCAGTGACAAGATGTTTCACAAGCTGTATGAATGCAGCTATGTCTCTGGGGTCGCTACAAGTACAATCCTAGTTGTGAAAGTTGTATCAAGATATTAATATTGCTTGTACTGAAGTGCAAAGCAAGTGAAACACAGTCGGAGTGGGGCAGGCAGTGGGACTGCCACACTTCAGCTGTGGGGATAAGTGGGTGCGTGCATTGAGTACAGTACTCAGGCCGTCTTCAAGTTCTGCTGACACTCAGGGTGTGTTTTAAATCTTCATGACTCTTGATTGTCAGCAGCAACTCCCGACTCTTGTCTTTTCTCAAAAATACCTTCCAATATTCAAGGTTTTAAGACTTTTCTTAGTTAATAGAAAATGGCTCTATGAAAACGCTGATGATTGTCTTAGAAGTCCTTATTCTTGAATCTTGAGACACTCTTTGAAACAGAGCTGATCCCCAGCTTGTCTACATCTGTCTTATTGAGCATTGAAAATGAATGAACATCTTGTGTGAATATTTGGAGTCTCTCAAAATGCGAGTGCCATGAGAAATACAACTTCTATTCTTCTAATGTTACTTTTGTTTTTGGCAGTCATGCAGGTGTATAGAAAATGTACTCTGGTCGAGTTCACTCTCCACCATTCTTATCCATGTCATATTCTGGTTGAGTGTTTGAATGTGTACACAGACCTCGTTAATTTTCCCATGAAAGCCCTACATTATGTTGGAAGGACAGTGAGGTAGTGGGTGGAAAAGATGAAAGTTGATTAGCATCTCCTTAGTTTCATTAAGCTCTCTCCTACTGAAGTTTGCCACAAGTATTGATTCTCCATAAACCAGTACATGAAGATAGGTCACCTTTCTTAAATTAATCGTAACTGTGGACGTTTACCTCTGTGTATTTTTTCCACTTTATATTCCACCCTCAGGGGCGGAAAGCAATTTCCTTCACCTGACAATGACCACTGTTCCTTATTTTCCTCTTCACAGAAATGCAGATACTGTGTGCAGTTTTGATAACACTGACCGGAGCAAATATTTATGCGGTTATTAGTGGTAATAATCTACACGCAAGTGAGCTAATCCCCACTGTGATCAGGTACATGACTTGGTGTAAACACCTGGGTAGCTATCAACAGTGATCAATTGTAGTGATTACAAAACTGGTCAAAGTTATCAAAAGTTTGATTTATGTATGATACATTAAATCCATCTGTGAACCAGCAGTATGCAATAAGAAAGATCATATAGGACTATTTGGAATCACCCAAAACATAAGTAATGTGAGGGATAAGAATTCTGTTCCTTTCATTTCTAATTAGGTTTTTATGACATTTATTTTTGTTTTAACATTTTTCCTACAGATATAGACTGCACTGCGGTCATGTTCACCTCTATCACTATTGCCTGTGTGCCATGGCTGCTGTGTTTCTTCTTTTCAGCTGGTGCCACCTCTGCCCTCATATCTTGGTGTTCATGTGTGTATATGTGGGTGTGCTCAACCACCCCTGCATGTGCTCATGGACCTGTCTTAAAGTGCATATAAGTAATGGGTTTCGTCATAACATTATCATAATTTTTTCAGCCTTTTGTACCTCCTTCTGCAAGCGCTTCTTTCTGCTAGTTCAGCCCTTCTCCACATCATTTCATCTCAATGCATGCTACCAATCTCTCTCCCTCATTCAAAACTTTTAACATTATAAATTTTAGCATAAAAAATCTTTGAGAACAAAATGAACATCACATAGACCAAAATTAGCCAGATACAAGATATATGCATTTCAAGAACTTCTATCCAGTTAGAACAGCAATTCTTAAGCTGTAGAGTTTCACATCCAATTTTACACTTTCACTATCAAATACATTTTTTGTCCTCACCCACCACCAAAAGTGAGAGAAGTTCACGACACAGAACTGACAAAACATTTACCTTTATATCCTCTTTTATGTCTCCTGTCCATTACAAGAATTCATTCCCGCCACATTCCCTAATATTCCATCTGTCTTCTCTTTACACTTGTTACACTGTACAAATGTGTACATTTGTTTACAGATGTGTGCATATTGTTAACTACAGTCTTCAAATGAGGGATAAAATGTGGCTTTCCTTTCACAGCTGTGTGGTATCACTTACACTTTCTAAGTCTACCCATTGTCCTACAAATGCATAGTTTCATTTTTCTTGAGAGTAGAGTAAGATTCCATATATATATACACACATATATATATATATATTATATATACACACACACACACAGAGCACATCTTTATTATCCATTCAACCTTCATTCCAGCTGAGCAACATTCATTCCAGGTAGGTCTTTGCTATCATAAACATGTCAGCAATAAACATGGTAGTGCAGATATTTCTAAAACAAAATTTGGAGGCTTCAGTGTTTATATCCAAACATGCAATTGCTTGGTCCTTTGGTAGTTATTTTTGCAATTTTTTTTAGGAACCTCTAAACCAATTTTTCTCAGAGGCTGTATTAATTTGCACCATACCAACAGTGCATTAGTGATTCCCCACTCTATACAGCTGCTCAAATATTTGTTGTCATATTTCTTGATGATGACTTATTTTGACCAAGGTGAGGTGATATCTCAAAGCAATTTAAATTTGCCTTTCCATGATTTCTAGGGATACTGAACATGTTTTAAAAGAGTATTGGCATTTTGTGTTCACTTCCTTCTTTTTAAATGCTATCTATTCAGTTTACTGGCCTATTTGTTGATCAACATCTTTTTTTTTATTTGGTCTTTAATATCTATGATTTGTAAATTCTGGATATTCAGCCCTGCCTGAAGTGTAGCTGGTAAAGGTTTTCTTCAAAGCTGAAGGCTCTGCGGATCATTTCCTTTGCTGTGCAGAGATTTTGTCTCCACTTAGTCTCATCCACTGGTAATGGGATTTGTTTCTGCCACTGGTGTTCTATTTAGAAAGTTTGGCTTACTCCAGTACCCAAAGTTTGGTTTCCCTTATGTTTGTGCTAGACATTTCAAATTTTAGGCTTTTTTCTTTTTTTCTTATTTTACTAACAGGGAAAAAAAAAACACCCTTTTTTTTTTTCCATTTTACATACCAATCCCAGTTCCCAATCCCTCCTCTCTTCCCATTCCCTCCACATACCCCCCACCCACTCCACATCCACTTCTCAGAGAGAATAAGGCACGTTGGTTTGGGGAAGATTCAAGCACCTCCCTCCTTTATCTAGGCTGAGCAAGGTATTCATCCAAATATTATGGGTTCCCAAAAAGTCAGTACAAGCAGTAGGAATAAATGCTGGCGCCACTACCAGTGGCCCCTCAGTGTGCCCCAGCCACTGTCACTCACATTCAGAGTGTCTTGTTTGGTCCTTCCCTGCCGGCTGGAGGTGGTGAACTCCCATCAGCTCAGATAAACTGTTGCAGTGGGTGTCCGCACATGGCCTTGACCCCTTTGCTCATATTTTCATTCCTTCCACTCTTCAGCTGGACTTTGGGATCTCAGCCCAGCTCCACTGTGGGTCTCTGCCTTTATTTCCATCAGTTGCTGGATGAAGTTCTATGGTGACATTTAGGATATTCATTAATCTGACTACTAGGCAAGGGCAGTTTGGGCACCCTCTCCATTGTTGCTTAGGGTCTTAGCTGGGGTCATCCTTCTGGATTCCTGGGAATTTCCCTAGTGCCAGGTTTCCTGCCAGCCCCACAATGGCTCCCTCAATCAAAATATCATTTTCCTTGCTCTCCATCTCTGTCCCTCCTCTCTCTCACCTATCCCATTACCTCAAGTTCTCCTTCCCTCTCTCCTCCACTCCTCTTCCCCTTCTACCCTTCCTTCTCCCCACACCATTGTGTTCCCAATTTTGTCAGGAAATCTTGTCTATTTCCCCTTTCCAGTTGGATTTATATATTTTTTCACAGGGTTCACCTTGTTACTTAGCTTCTCTAGTGTCATGAACTATAGGCTCATTACTTTTTGCTTTACAACTAGTTTCCACTTATACATACCATGTTCATCTTCCTGGGTCTGGGTTACCTCCTTCAGGATGGGTTTTTATGTTCCACCATTTGCATGCCCCGCCGCTCTTATTTCAACAATTCAGGGTTTTTTTTAGTGTCTTTCCTAGATGAGTTTGTTTCTTGGCCACAACATACAATTTTGTTCTTGTTTGTTAAATCTGTCAATTAGTCTGCAACTTCCTCGGGGTGAATTCAAGCTAGTTAATCTTAAGTTTTTTTATAGAAAAGATTGGCATTTCCTAAAAATTTATTAGGTGATGGTCTAGCTTTCTGTATTATTGATTGACCAGAACCTAAAGGAATAAAGATCCCAAATGGAAAAGTGTTGAGAGAGGAGTGCCACAAATGCAAATACAAGGAAGACAGAAAGCTGGGATCAGGAGGTCTTCCTGAGTTGATGACTCATGACAGCATGCTTATTGAGAAAGTAAAGCATCTTCTATACTTTTTTCAGGAGAAATAGGACAGAATCATCAGAAAGCTACCAAATGGTGGGAAAATATAGCGGGAACTAATCAAACAATATTATGCAAAGAGTTCACAGGATGTCTCAACTATGTCACACACCAATTACAAGGAAGACTTGGAACCCACATGCCCCAGCCCAGGACAAGATGCTGCCAAGTCTGGTACTGGAAAAGGACACAGAACTGGCTCTGCATTTGCCTTACATCAAGGCCTCCGAGAAAGGCTTGGACTGGCCTGACTCCCAGCAGTTGATGCTTGTTTTCTTCCTCCAATATTAATGTTGAGGGTTTGCTGAGTTGCAGCGTTGCATATGGTTGTGTCTATTCCAAGTGCAGTTTGTTTATCTGTGGTACTAAGGGTATGCATGCACATGCTCACATGGAGAAAGCCACCTTTCCTTTTCCTCCTTGCAAATCATTTCACTAAGAATGTTTCTGCAGTGCCTGCTTGGTTGTCATTAATTACCTTAATTTGTAATTGTCTTGGGCCACTCTCATTTCTCCATCGATTTGGAAAAATAAATTTACTGGCTAAAACATTTTTCTGACACATATATATTCAAAGCTTGACATATTTCATTTGATGTTCTTCTGGCTTTTATGGTTGCTGGAAAAAAGTCTGTGGAAATTCTCACATTGCTGCCTTGTGCGTGAGTGGTTGCCTTTTCTTTGTTCCTTTTAGGATTACATCTTTACTTGTATTTTGGCATACTGACTATAACATGTCACAGAATATTTCTATTTTTATTATGTGGTTTTGGAGTTCTCTATGCCTCTTGAAATAGTATGTCTGCCTTCTGTACATTTGGGATATTTTCTGCTTTAATTTACTTAGTGGGCTATCTAGTTCATTACATTTACTTGTTCTTTTTCTATACCACAAATTCTCAGGGTTGGCCTCTTGAACATATCCCAGAGCCTATTAGAATATGATGCGTTTGCTCCTCTTCTTAGAGGAATGTCTCTATGACATTCAGCTATTAGGACTAATGAAACTGGTGTATTGAATGAATTGCTAAAGTTGTCATGGTTGTATGCAAAGGACCGAGGGTAGATCTGGATACTAAGAACCAAGGTGACCAGCTGACACCAAAACCTTGGTCTTTATTATTATTTTTTTATTGCTTTATAAATAATACCATTCAAAATTTCCACTTGCTTCCCTCCTCCCATTTTCCTCCCGCTTCCCATTCACCCTTCCCTCTCTCCCTCCAGTCCTAAGAGTGAAGGGTACTCTGCTCTGTGGGAAGTCCAAGGTCCTCCCCCTTCCATCCAGGCTTAGGAAGGTGTGCATTCAAATAAACTAGGATCCAAAAAAGCCAGTACATACAGTAGAGACAAATCCCAGTGCCATTATTGTTGGCTTCTCAGATCGTCCCAGTTCTCAGCCACATTCAGAGAGTCCAGTTTGATCACATGCTCATTCAGTCCTAGTCCAGCTGGCTTTGGTGGGCTCCCATTAGATCAGGAACACTGTCTCAGTGGGTGGACCAACCCCTCACTGTCCTGACTTCCTTGCTCATATTCTCCCTCCTTCTGCTCTTCAACTGGACCTTGGGAGCTCAGTTCAGTGCTCCGATGTGGGTCTCTGTCCCTATCTCTATCTGTTGCCGGATGAAGGTTCTATGATGATATTCAAGATAGTCGTGAGTCTGACTACGGGACAAGGCCAGTTCAGGCTCCCTCTCCTCCACTGCCCAGGGTCCTAGCTGGGGACATCCCCATGGATACCTTAGAACCCCTCTAGAGCCAAGTCTCTTGCCAGCCCCAAAATGGCTCCCTCAATTAAGATATCTTCTTCCTGGCTCCCATATCAGTCCTTCCTCCAGCTCACCCATCACTCTCCCCCAAGGTCTCCCCAACCCTTCCTTTCTCCCTTCTCTCTCCCCCCTTCCCTTCCCCTAACCCACCTCCACCCCATGCTCCCAACTTTTTCCTGGTGATATTGTCTGCTTCCAGTTTTGAGGCGGATTTATATATGTTTTTCTTTGGGTTCACCTTATTACTTAGATTTTCTAGGATTGTGAAATATAGGCTCAATGTCCTTTGTTTATGGCTAGAATCCACTAATGAGTGAGTACATACCATATTTATCTTGTTGGGTCTAAGCTATTTCACACAGGATAGTGTTTTCTATTCCTATCCATTTACATACAAAATTTAAGATGTCATTGTTCTTTACCACTGAGTAGTACACACTTTCTTTATCCATTCTTCCATTGAGGGGCACCTAGGTTGTTTCCAGATTCTGGCTACTACAAATAATGCTGCTATGACCATGGTTGAACAAATGCTTTTGTAGTATGATTGAGCATCTTTTGGGTATATTCCCAAGAGTGGTATTGCTGGATCCTGAGGTAGGTTGATTCCCAATTTTCTGAGAAACCACCATACTAATTTCCAAAGTGATTGTACAAGATTGCATTCCCATCAGCAATGGATGAGTGTTCCTGTTACTCCACATTCTCTCCAACATAGGATATCATTGGTGTTTTTGATTTTAGCCATTCTGACAGGTGTAAGATATCTCAAAGTTGTTTTGACTTGCATTTCTCTGATAGTTAAGGAAGTTGTCCTTATGTATCTTTTGGTCATTTGAGATTCTTCTGTTGAGAATTCTCTGTTCAGTTCAGTACACTATTTTTTAATTGGGTTATTTAGAATTTTAATGTCTAGCTTCTTGAGATCCCTATATATTTTGGAGATCAGACCTTTGTCTGATATGGGGATAGTGAAGATATTCTCCCATTCAGTAGGTTGCCTTTTTGTCTTAATAACTGTGTCCTTTGCTTTACAGAAGCTTCTCAGTTCAGGAGGTCCCATTTATTTATTATTGCTCTATTGTCTGTGCTACTGGAGTTATATATAGGAAGTGGTCTCCTGTGCCCATGCATTGAATGCTACTTGCCACTTTCTCCTCTATCGCGCTCATGGTGGTCAGGTTTATATTGAGGCCTTTAATCCATTTGGACTTGAGTTTTGTGCATGGTGATAATATTGGATTTATTTTCATTCTCCCATAGGTTGACAACCAGTTATGCCAGCACCATCTGTTAAAGATGATTTCTTTCTTCCATTATATAATTTTAGCTTAAAGTTGATTATTGTTCTCTCAAGGTCTGTGAAGAATTTTGTTGGGATTTTGATAGGGATTGCACTGAATCTATAGATTGCCTTTGGTAGAATTGCCATTTTTACTATGTTGATCCTCCCAATCCAAGAGCAAGGGAGGTCCTTCCACTTTCTGGTATACTCTTCAATTTCTTTCTCAAAACTTAAACCTTGAAGTTCTTGTCAAATAGATATTTCACTCCCTTGGTTAGTGTTACCCCAAGATACTTTATGCTATTTGTGGCTATCATGAAAGGTGATGTTTCTCTGATTTCCTTCTCTGCTTCTCTATCCTTTGTGTATAGGAGGGCTACTGATTTTTTTTTTTAGTTGATCTTGTATCCTGCCACATCACTGAAGCTATTTATCAGCTATAGACCTCTGGGAAAGTTTTTGGGGTCACTTATGTACACTATCATATCATCTGCAAATAACGAAAGTTTGACTTCTTCCTTTCTGATTCGAATTCCCTTGATCCCCTTATGTTGTCTTATTGCTATTGCTAGAACTTCAAGCACTATATTGAAGAGATATGGAGAGAGTGGACAGCCTTGTCTTGTTCCTGATTCTAGTGGAATGGCTTTAAGTTTCTCTCCATTTAATTTGATGTTAGCTGTTGGCTTGCTGTATGCTGCTTTTATTATATTTAGATATGATTCTTGTATCTCTAATCTCTCCAAGATTTTTATCATAAAGGGGTGCTGAATTTTGTCAAATGCTTTTTCAGCATCTAATGAAATGAACATATGGTTTTTTTCTTTCAGTTTATTTATATGATGGATTCTATTGATAGATTTTTGTATGTTGAACCAGCCCTGCATCTCTGGGATGAAGACTTCTTGATCATAATGGATATATTTTTTTTATGTATTCTTGGATTTGGTTTGCCAGTATTTTATTGATAATTTTTGCATTGATGTTCATGAGTGAGACTTGTCTGTAATTCTCTTTCTTGGTTGAGCCTTTTGTAGTTTTGGTATCAGGGTAACTGTAGCTTCATAAAAAGTGTTTGGCAATGACTCTTCTGTTTCTATTATGTGAAATGCATTAAGGAGTATAGGTATTAGCTCTTCTTGGAAGTTCTGGTAGAATTCTGCATTAAAACCATCTGGTCCTGTTTTTTTTTTAATTGGGAGGTTTTTGATGACAGCTTCTATACTGTTTTATAGGTCTATTTAAATTGTTCACCTGGTCTTGATTTAATTTTGGTATATGGTACTTATGTTAAAAAAAATGTCCATTTCTTTTACATTTTCCAATTTTGTGGCATACAGGCTTTTGTAGTAAGACCTAATGATTTCCTCAGTGTCTGTTGTTATGTCCCCCTTTTCATTTCTGATCTTGTTAATTTGAGTGTTCTCTCCCTGCCTTTTGATTAGTTTGGATAGGGGTTTGTCAATCTTGTTGATTATCTCAAAGAACCAGCTCTTTGTTTCATTGATTCTTTGGATTGTTTTCTGTGTTTCTATTTTGTTGATGTGCCTTACCCTCTCTGTATGTGGAGGAAATGGGAGGAAGGAAGGGAGTGGGAACTTGGATTGTTATGTATAATGAAAAAAGAGCAAAAATTTCCAAAGCAAAGTAATTACCAGCAACCTTAATTTATAATATACTACATATTGATTCTCTTAACAATGCAGTTGGCTAAAACCCAATACAGTAAATTCAGTTTTGCTATTTTTTTTTAATTCTATTTTATGTTTCAAGGGCAAGAGCATTAGGAGTCACTGGAATTGCTACTAATGTGGGGGGAGCCCTGACTCCCCTCTTTATGATCCTCGCAATCTACTCTACCTCTCTACCCTGGATCATCTATGGAGCCTTCTCCTTCCTTGGTTGCTTTATCCCTCTTCTCCTTCCTGAGACCAAGAATCAGCCTCTGCCTGACTCCATCCAAGATGTGGAAAATGAGTGAGTAATACCTCTACCTCCCATTTATGACGTGAAAAGTAAAATAACATGCAGACCATCTCTCTCCCAAGCAGTCAGACAGCTAGACCTTTTTCCCATTTGGTCAGTTTCTCATAGGAGTCTTCCCTGTATCCATTCAAACTGTAGATACAAATCTGCTTGGATTCCTTTAGAAAAAATACCAACTCTTTGAGGATGCACCCAGAGACTTCTTGATAAAAGTAAAAAAATTGGTCTTCTTCCCACTCTGCCTTCACATAAAACACATGAAGTATATGTGTTAATGTGTAACATATGTATGTATGGAGAGGCCAGCAAAGGGCCATAGGTTTTCAGTTCATACTTTTTCCATTCTGAGGATTCTATCAATGAACCCAGGGATGGGATGGAATCTAAAGAGAACCAGTGAGAATTCTGTCTCTTCTTCCCACAACACTGCGATTAGAAGCATTTGTGCCCATGCCCAGTTTTTCACACTATTACCTATTATTTGAACCCAGGGCCGCCTCCTTCTGCCGGAAATACTCAATACATTGAGCCTAACCATTAACCCATGAAACAGCTATTTTTGCCTATATTTCACAAGTATGCACAAATACAAATGGCATTTCATCTTTCAGAATCAGAATAATCTATCAGACCAATGAGTGCTGGTAAGCTGTCTGAAACTGGTAGTTTCTGGAGGCTTGGGGGTCCACTATGATCAATGAATAACAGAAGAAATAGAACTGGACACAGGTCACAGTGCATCTGAGAGAAGGACTATTTGCTGTGAATTTCACACCATCTTGGTTTCATTAAGCATGAAATGTTCACAACAGAAAGAATGACAAGGTCAATAACAAGATTAAACATAAAAGAATGGGCAGGATTTTTAATTTTTTTATGTGTTTCCTGTGCTTTTTTCCTTCAAACCTCCTTGGAGAATATTATGACCACTAAGGTAGTAAGTAGCAAAGCTAACTCATAGAACTTACTAGGAAATAATTGTTTTTTATTTCCCAGATTTACTCAAGTCCTTTATAGGAATCTTAGATTTTTACAAAAGCTAAGGGGTAAAGGATAAGATTTCTCTTATGAATTCAGGAGATGCCTTTATTCTCTGTGTCATTTCAGGTCCATCTACATTTTTTATGGTATTTGTTGTGTGTGTTCTAGGTGGAAAGGTTCAAGACAAGCAAAGGAGGAAGGTGCCATCATCAAAGTGACATCATTTTAAGGAACTCTGGGAATTGGCCTCTGCTCAAAGAACAGAATAAATAAAAATGTCACTCAGAATGCAGTGTCCTAGGATCATTCCTAGATATTATCAAGCTTTTCATTAAAGACCGATACAAATATGGATTGTATTTTATACTGTTTTACTAAATTATCATTTTAAAAATACCTATTATTATTCACAGTAAGCAATGTGAAGATGCCACACAAGTGCCTGCCCTGGCTCCACGTGGTGGGGCAGTAGTTGCCACTACAATGAACAAACGTATAATGGAAACATGGGAAAGATAGAGTACTTGGTGCAAAGATGGGAGAGAGAGAAGTGCAGCAGTTCATGTGCTGTGGATGCAAGTGGAGCTGGTGATTTAATGGCTGTGAAGAAGAGGCAGGTAGGAGGAGCCTTTTGCTGCAACCTGAAGCCAAGTTAAGCTTTGGTGCCTTGCTTTCACTGGGGTCATACTAATTTAAATAGCCTGTGATGCCATCTAAGGCCATGGAGATGTCTAGGTCCTCACTGCCACCAAAGATCATGTCCTTTGGCCTTGTCAGAACCGAGATCTGAGTTGATGTCCATGGCCCGTGTGCCCACCAAGGGCCACTCAGATTATCTATGGTCTGTGCTGTTGTTTGAGGTAGTTTAGTTGTCTGGGAGCCATGATACCACTGAGAACCAAATTGACCTGAGTATCCTGTGCCGCCACCTGTGATCATGGTGATGTTCTGATCCAGGTTGATGCTGAAGGCTATCCATGGACGTATTGTAGCCATAGTCTGTGTTAATGTACATGGTCCGAGGTACCACCAAAGGCCTTACAGTTGTCCATTGTCTGTCCTATCCCCTGAAACCATGGTTACATCCAGGTCCTTTGGGTCTGTGGTCCTACTGCTTCTGGTGTCTATATTGATTACTGAGTCCTGGGTTGCACTGAGGGCCACTCAGATGTCTATGGGCGAGGCTGCCTTGAGGATGTCTGGGTCTAAGGTGGCACCAAGAGTCATGGGTTCATCCCTCAGCCAGAGTCTGTGTTTATATCCATGGTCTGTGTTTCACCACAGTTTACATTCACCATCCGTGCTGTCAACTGAAGCCATGCTGATATCCCAGCACCATACTTAGGTGACTCCATTCCCACTTGCTGTAAGAACACCAGTCCCACTCCTCAGCAGTGGCACTACTCAAGAGAACTGCTCCAACCTCTTGCCTGGGAAGTGGGGGAGAGCTGTCCCTGATGGTGTGAGCCTGGGAAAGCTTGCCACAACCTTTGTAGGCACTCTGGTGGCTTGGGCTTGGAAGAGCTGTCCACCCTCTGCTGGCCACCTATGGCAGGTGGGAGAGCTGGTCCCGGAAGTGGGATAGCTGGTCTCACCCCTTACCAGTTGCAACATCAGGAGAGGAGACCCCCCACTTCTCCCCTGGGCAGCAGAGGAGAGCTGGCCCTGGTGACAATGTTGCCAGTGAGCTGGCCCTGAGAATATGAACTCAGGAGAGCTAGTCTCATACCTCACCAGAGCAATATGGGACACCTGGCCTGGAAGTCACAAGAGCTGATAAGCTGGCCCTGCCCTTTGCTAGCTCTAGCACTCCATGGAGTGGCCCCATACCTTACATGAGAAGCACAGTGAGTTGGACATGGTAGCACGGGCACAGGACAGGAGCCTGAGGGTGTGACGCTGGGAGAGAGTCCTGTCCATTGTTGGCTGTGGCCTCTGGTGAGCTGGTCCTGCCCCTGGCTGGCACAGTGCTGGAAAGTTGGCTCTTGCAGTGTATGTGAGGGGCAAAGCGGGAGTGTTGGCACTGGTTCATGAGTTCAGGAGTGCATGTGGACTGATCAATTCGGCTACCATCCAGGAACATATCCAAAGTATTGATCCGGCCCACCCCAATATCGACCCTATCTATGAACTGCTGGAGCATGTGAAGGGGCCAGCACAACAGAATCAAAGCTACAGAATGTCCATGACACAGGGAAACAACGGGATACCTGAGAGGAATCCTGGTGAGAATCCAAAATTGGTTAGTGTAGTAGGGGTCTCAAGCCAGCCAAATGAATCATTGCCATGAACATTTGCAAGTAAAGCTATCTGGGTAAAAGTGTATCCTGTGTCAGGAAATGTGGCACATTGCAGTTTTCACAGGAACTTTGTTTGTCTACTTATATGCTTGCTTGTTTTTGTTTGTTTAATTTTTTGGTTGGTGTTGGGTGTGTGGCAGAGGTGGAGGGTAGATAGAGAGGGATGGGAGATGGCTAGGATTGGGGTGCATTATATAAAATTCTTAAAGGATAAATAGAAAGTTTTTAAAAAGAAATAGTGTGAAAAAAGTTTTTAAAAAGAAATAGTTTCGAGACAGGGTTTCTCTGTTATTTTGGAGCCTGTCCTGGAACTAGCTCTTGTAGACCAGGCTGGTCTCGAACTCACAGAGATCCGCCTGCCTCTGCCTCCCAAGTGCTGGGATTAAAGGCGTGCGCCACCACCGCCTGGCTAAGCAACAATATATTAAAGGAAATTTTACAGAGTATTTTTACAGTCAAAGATGATTGCCAAGTTTCTAAATAGTATGGTGGTGACCATCTTAGCTCTGATCTAGAGCCTCAGAAAGATTGTTATGACTGACCCTTCCCTTGGTTTCTGGTCCTAGCCATTTGGCATAGTATTTAAGGGTTGAAAACAACAGAAGGATTTCTGGAGTAAAGATATTTATTTCCAGTGGCCAGTAATGTATGTGGGAAAAGGAAGGTGAGGAGGAATAGGAGGGTAATAAAGAAGAAGAGGAGAAGGAAAAGAGGAAAATGACAGGAATATAAAATTGGAATGAATCCAAGAACCAAATACTCCTTTCAAAGGTCAACCCCAGTAACCTTATACCACAAAATACACCCCTATGGTGATTTGAATTAAAATGCTCCCAAAAGTGGCATTTTAGAATGTTTGGCTCTGTGGGAGTAGGTGTGGTATTGCTGGAGGAAGTATGTCACAGTGGAGGGAGACTTTGAGATCTTCTATATGCTTTTCCAATGCCACAGACCACTTCCTGTTGCCCACCAGATGAAAGACTCTCAATGAAGAATTGTTTTGGGATTTTGATGGGGATTGCATTAAATCTATAGATTGCTTTTAGTGGGATTGCTATTTTTACTATGTTGATACCACCTATCTAAGAGCATGGGAGATCTTTCCAATTTCGGGTATCTTCTTCATTTTGGTTCTTCAAAGACATAAAGTTCTTGTTGAATATGTCTTTCATGTCTTTGGTTAGTATCACCCCAAGATATTTTATGTTATTTTTGGCTATTGTGAAAGGGATATTTCTCTGGTTTTCCTCTCTCAGTTTCTTTATCATTTGTGTATAGGAGGGCTTCTGATTCTTTTGAGTTGATCTTCTATCATGCCATATCACTGAAGGTATTTATCAGAAGTAGGAGTTCCCTGCTGGAGTTTTGGGGTTGCTTATCTTAACAGCCCTTGAAAGAACAATAATCAACTTCATATGAAAAAAAAAACAGAATAACCAAAACATTTCTGTACAATAAAGGAACTTCTGGAGGGATCACCATTCCTGACATCAAGTTCTATTACAGAGCTACAGTAATGAAAACAGCTTGGTACTATCATAAAAGCAGAGAGATTAGCCAATCAAATTGAATCAAAGACCCAGATATTAGTCACACACCTATGAATACCTGAATTTTGATAAAGAAGCTGAAATTATACAATGGAAAAAAGAAAGTATCTTCAACAAATGGTGCTGGCATAACTGGATGTCAACATGCAGAAGAATGAAAATAGATCAATATCTATCACCATGCACAAAACTCAAGTCTAAATGGATTAAGGACCTTAATATAAAACTGGCTACACTGAACCTGATAGAATAGAAAGTGGGAAGTAGCTTTCAATACTTCCTAAATATAACTGCAGTAGCACAGACACTGTGAACAACAATAAATAAATAGGACCTCCTGAAACTGAGAAGCTTCTGTAAAGCAAAGGACACAGTCAAAAAGACAAAAAGCAGCCTACTGAATGGTAAAAGCTCTTCACCATCCCCACTTCAGACAAAGGACTTGAATAAAAAAACTATAGTTGAAGCAGAAGAAAATTACCTAAAAATAACTTTAGGAGAATGTTTGAGGCCCTTAAAGAGGAGGTGAATAATTTCCTTAAAGAAATGGAGAAAAAGACAAATAAATTGGAAGAAATAAAAAATTACCTACCGAAAATGAAGAAAAAGCAATCAAATATATAAACTATTCAAAACCTGAAAACTGAAATAAAGACAATAAAAAACTGAGGGAAATATAGAAATAGAAATCATGAGAAAATGATCAAAAACCACAAATGGAAGCATAAACAGCAGAATACAGAAGATGGAAGACAGAATCTCAAGCACTGATGATACAATAGATGAAATAGACTCTGGTGTGGGAGGTCCTTCTGTCTGTGTGTTGCTTTACTTAGTTAATGAATAAAGAAACTGCTTTGGCCTGTTGATAGGATAAAACGTAGGTAGGCAGGGAGAACTAGACTGAATGCTGGGAGAAAGAAGGGTGGAGTCAAAGGGATGCCATGGATCTGCTGCCAGAGATAGATGTGCTAGAACTTTGTTGATAGGCCACAACGTCATGGTGATACATAGATTAATGGAGATGGGTTAAACTAAGATGTAAGAGTTAGCAAATAAGAATTTAAAGCTAATGGGCCAAGCAGTAATTTAATAAAAACAGTTTTTGTGTGATCATTTTGGTTCTGGGCATCCAGGACAAACAAGCAGACCTTCCTTCAACAAGACTCAGTGGTCAAAGAAAACATTAAATCTAGTAAAAACTTAACACAAAATATCCAAGAAATATGGGACACCAGTGATAGAAGAAAAAGTCCAACTCAAAAGCACAGAAAACATATTTAATAATATTATAGAAGAAAACTTTCCCAATAGAAAGAAGGACTATTAAGAGCTGTAAAGGAAAAAGTTCAAGTAACATATAAAAGCAGACCTATCAGAGTTATACCTGATTTCTCAATGGAAACAATGAAAGCCAGAAAGACCAGGCCAAGTGTTATGCAGACACTTAGAGACCAGAAATGCCAGCCCAGAATACTATACCCAGCAAAACTTTTAATTACAATGGATGGACAAAACAAGATATTCGATGACAGAACCAGATTCAACCAATAACTAGCCACAAACCCATCCCTACACAAAATACTAGAAAGAAAACTCCAACCCAAGGAAGTAGACAACATCAACAAAACCAAAGAAAATAGAATATCTCACAGCAACAAATCCCAAAGAAGGGAAAAATACACACAATAACATCACCAACAATGAAAACTAAAATAACAATCTTGCAATTACTGGTTATTAATATCCCTTGATACAAATGGACTCAACTCACCTATAAAAAGACACAGGCTAACAGATTAGATATCCATCATTCTGTTGCATGCAATAAATATACCTCAACCTCAAAGAAAACCATCACCTCAGAGTAAAGGGTTGGGAAAACTTTTCCAATCCAATGGACCTAAGAAACAAGCTATCCTAATATCTCACAAAATAGGTTTCAAACTAAAATCAATCAAAGGAGACAAAAAGGGGCATTTCATATTAGTCACAGGAAAAATTCATCAAGAGGAATTCTCAATACTGAACATCTATACCTCGAATGCAAGGGCACCCTCATATGTAAAAGAAACACTTCTATAGCTTCAATCACACATTAAACCCCACACACTAATAGTGGGATACTTCAACATGGCACTCTCACCACTGGACAGAATGGTCAGACAGAAAATTATCAGAGAAATAAGGGAATTAACAGATGTTATGACTCAAATGGACTTAACAGATATCTATAGAACATTCCATGCAAACATATAATAACATACATTTTTCTCAACACCTCATGGAACACTCTCAAAAATTGACCACATACTAGGTAAAAAAGCAAATCTCCACAGATACAAAAAAACCTGGATTAACCCCATGTATCTTATCGGATCACCATTCTTAAATTAGAATTCAACAGCAACACTAATTCCAGAAAGCCCACAAACACATGGAAATAAACGATCCTAACCTGAATCATCAATAGGTCAAGGAAGAAACAAAGGAAGAAATTAAAGAACATGAGGGGTGCACCCACCCACTGAGACAGTGGGGCTGATCTATTGGGAGCTCACCAAGGCCAGCTGGACTGTGACTGAAAAAGCATGGGATAAAACCGGACTCTTTGATCATGGTGAACAATGAGGGCTGATGAGAAGCCAAGGACAATGGCACGGGGTTTTGATACTACTTCATGTTCTGGCTTGGTGGGATCCTAGCCAGTTTGGATGTTCACCTTCCTAGACGTGGACGGAGGGGGGAGGACCTTGGACTTTCCACAGGGCAGGGAACCCTGACTGCTCTTTGGACTGGAGAGGGATGGGGAGAGGAGGGGGAGAAGGGTTGGAGGAGGGGGAGGGAAATGGAAAAAATAGAGAAAAAGAATAAAAAAAAAACATAAAAAATAAAAAAAGACTTTCTAAAATTCAACAAAAATAAGCACACAACATACCCAAGTTTATGGGAAACAATGAAAGCAGTGTTAAGAGAAAAGTTCATAGCATTAAATGCCTACATAAAGAAGCTGAAAAATCCCTCACCAGTGAATTAACAGATCGTTTGAAAACTAGAACAAAAAGGAACAAACTCACCCAGGAGAAAGAGATGGCAGGAAATAATTAAATTGAGAGCTGAAATCAACAAAGTAGAAACAAATAAAACAATACAAAGAATCAATGAGACAAAAGAGTTGGTTCTTTGAGAAAATCAACAGAATAGACAAACCTCTATATAAACTATTCAAAATGCAAGGAGAGAATATCCAAATTCACAAAATCAGAAATTAAAAAGGGGACATAACAACAGACATAGAGGAAATCCAGAGAATCATTAAGTCATATTTTGAAAATCTGTACTTCACAAAAATAGAAAAGTTAAAGGAAATGAATAACTTTCTGAATAAATATCGCTTACCAAAATTAAATCAAGACAAGATAAGCAAATTAAATAGACCTATAACTGCTGAAGAAATAGAAACAGCCATCAAAAGTCTCACAACCAAAAACAGCCCAGGACCAGATGGTTTCAGGTCAGAATTCTACAAGATTTTCAAAGAAGAACTAATACCAATACTCCTCAAATTGTTTCACACAATGGAAACAGAAGGAACGCCAAACTCTTTTTATGAGGCTACAATTATCCTGACACCCAAAACACATAAAGACATTACTAAGAAACAGAATTACAGTCCAATATCACTTATGAATATTGATGCAAAAATAGTCAGTAAAATGAGCAAGAGAGTCAGGACCGTGAGGGGTGTGCCCACCCACTGAGACGGTGGGGCTGTTCTAATGGGAGCTCACCAAAGTCAGCTGGACTGGGACTGATGGAACATGTGATCAAACCGGACTCTCTGAAGGTGGCGGACAAGGAGGGCTGACTGAGAAGCCGAGGACAATGGCACTGGGTTTTGATCCTACCGCATGTACTGGCTTTGTGGGAGCCTAGTCTGTTTGGATGCTTACATTCCTAGACCTGGATGGAGGGGGGAGGACCTTGGACTTCCCACAGGGCAGGGAACCCTGACTGTTCTTTGGACTGGAGAGGGAGGGAGAGGGGGAGGGAAATGGGAGGAGGGGAGGAGGTGGAAATTTTTAATTAAAAATAAATAAAAAATAGTAAAATATCTGCAAATCGAATCCAGAAAAATCATTCACTATGATCAAGTCATCTTCATCCCAGAGATGTGGGGATGGTTCAATATACAAAAATCTGCCAATGTAATCCACCATATAAACAAACTGAAAAATAAAAACCACATTATCATCTCATTAGATGTTGGAAAAGCCTTTGACAAAATACAACATCCCTTCATGATAAAGGTCCTGGAGAGAACAAAGATACAAAGAACATACCTAAACATAATAAAGGCAATATGAAACAAGCCAACAGCTAACATCAAACTAAATGGAGAGAAACTCACAATGATTCCACTGAAGTCAGGAACAAGACAAGGTTGTTCACTTTCTCCATATCTATGCAATATAGTTTTTGAGGTCCTAGCTAGAGCAGTAAGACAACAACAGGAGATCAAGAGGATATAAACCAGAAAAGAAGTAAAACTCTCACTATTTGCTGATGATATGAAAGTTTACATAATTAACCCCATAAATTCTACTGAGGATCTTCTATAACTCATAAATACTTTTGGTAATGTAGAAGGATACAAGTTTAACGCAAAAGAAAAAATCAGTATCCCTCCATTACACAAGTGATAAATGGGCTGAGAATGAAATCAGAGAAACATCACCCTTCATATAGCTTCAAATAGAGTAAAATATCTCTGAGTAACTCTAACCAAACAAGTGGAAGACCTGTATGACAAGCAACTTGCGAAGAAAATTTTTTATTTCCCTCTTATTTCCATGTAACAGTTCATCCTCAAAAACAGTGAGAGCAAGAATTCAAGTATTGCCAGAGAAGGTGCCATTCAAATGAAGGAGATGCCACTGTGGTTGGACAAAGCAACGACACTTCTCTGGCCTCGGGTTGGAGTCAGTGGGACTGAGATCCTCAGGAGGTCATCTTGGCTCAGGATACCACTGTTAATGTCAGATACAGTGTCATTGTCAAGGATGTGAATCCAGCAGCGATAACCAGGCATGGCTGCAGTGAAGTTCTCCAAAAGAGTCTGAGGAGCCACTGTGACATTGCAGATTAGAAGGAAAGCTATCTGAAGGATCTGGAATCTTCCCATGCTTCTGAGTCAATCCAAAGATCCTGAAAGGCCATTGAGGCTGAAAGACTGTCTCCAGTGGAAAGCGGAAAGGCTTATACCTATGGGAGTAAAATCATTTAAATGAAGTTCTGTTTTACAGAGACACATAAATAGGTTTGATCTTGAGCTCTTCTCAATATGCCCGTCTTCATGACACACCAATGTCATAGAAATGTGATATGTTGTGTTCTTGGTATTAGGGCAGGACTTGTTTCCTGCAAAGTAAATCTGCAAAAAAATCTGCTAATATTTTTTTCTGTAATCTAGTCTGTTAAACATTTATTTTCTGAGAAACTGTGCACTGTTCCTATGGTCAGCCTGACAATAAACCAGAATTAGTCAGTTCCATGGCATGAAGCCACAGGTAGTAGGTACAATTTTTCAGGAGCTACAGCATGGTGTTTTCCATTTTCTATTCCTTGGGAATATTTTGTTTGGTCTTGAATTTGTTTAACAAAATGAATGAACATGATCTAGAAATTAATGCGAAGGAATTATGGTGCAATTCTCCACTTTTGCTACATGGCCTGATTTTGATCAATTCATTCCCATTGCAAATATATTGCTCAAAGATGTGGGAGGCTGGCCAAAGACAGGGCCTTAAAGTTCACCAGTGTAAAGTTCACATATATATTTGATGTTTCAGATAGTAAATGTGATCATTGCTTGTGTTCAAATATCAGAAGTACAATATGTGGAAGTTAAGTGTTGAATAGCTTACAAGTCAGTGAATAATAAAGAGGTACACAAGAAGGAATATTTTACTATTTTAAATTCATCTCTCTGTGTATAATATACATACTTACACATATATGTATATACACATATGTTAGCATATATACATATATATATGTACACACACATGTGAATGAAATTTCCTGAGAAGGAGTTATCACTACAGATAAAGGCTAATCAACTGATTAGACCTTCAGGTTTCTGGAGAAGATATAATGTTGCAGTTGTAGAGCCCAATCACTCTGGGCAGTTTCTCACCTTCCTAATAACCATTTACTGTTCTCACTTTTTGTGAGCAAATGGCTTTCTAAACATTAAGCAAATCCTTTGGGGATATGCAAACAAATCTATTTTCTAATAACCAAAACCAGATACAGCCATCTGATAGCACCTGAGGCCCATCCCTGAGATTTTTCTGCTTTTCTGTGACACGCCTATCTAATAAAAAAAAATCCCATGCAGTTTGTCTTCTGTTGGTCTGTTTTTTAAATAAATATTTAGTGTCAGAATCATGTGACTTATTTCCTTTCTTTGCTACTTAGTCACTAAGTAGTACTCAGGTATGTAAGCCCCAGTAGGTTATGCAATCCCAAGTGTTCAACCATAAACACATGGACATATGAGTAACACGAAAGGAACTCAATGGTCTCACATATGTACATATGTGTGTATATGCAATAGCAATAATTAAATGAATTATTTAATTATTCATGAATTTGAGAGGAAGTTGGGGCACGTGAGGAACTATTCATGAGAAGGGATTAGAAATTTTTACATGCAATACTCCCATATGAAATCATATATATATATATATTAAAAGTAATTATTGACTTACAAGTTTGCACTTCCACCAGTAAAAAGTGTTTCCCTTACTCCACATTCTCTCCAGCATAAGCTTTCATTAGTGTTTTTTATCTTAGCCATTTTGACAGATGTAAGATAGTATCTATAGTTGTTTTAATTTACATTCTCTGACAGCTAAGGATGTTGAACAACTCCTTAAGTGCCTTTTGGCCATTTGAGATTCCTCTGTTGAGAATTCTCTGTTTAGAGCTGTACCCCCTTTTTAATTGGATTATTTGGTATTTTGATGATTAGTTTCATGTGTTCTTTGTATATTTTAGAGATTAGCCCTCTGTCAGATGTCGGGTTGATAAAGATCTTTTCCCATTCTGTAGACTGCCGTTTTGTCTTGTTGATTTTTTCCTTTGAGTTACAGAAGCTTCTCAGTTTCAGGAGGTTCTATTTATTAATTGTTTCTTTCATTGTCTGTGCTACTGGTGTTATATTCAGGAATTGGTCTCCTGTGTCAATGTGTTCAAGTGTACTTCCCACTTTCTCTTCTATCTGGTTCAGTGTGGCTGGATTTATGCTGAGGTCTTTGATCCATTTGGACTTGTGTGGCAGTTTTTCAGAAAATTGGGTATAAATTTACCTCAAGACCCAGCAGTACCACTCTTGGACATATACCCAAAGGATGCACACTCATACCATATTTGTTCAACTATATTAATTGCAACATTGTTTGTAAGAGCCACAACCTGGAAACAACATAAATGCCCCTCAACTAAATAATGGATAAAGAAAATGTGTACACTTACACAATGGAGTACTACTCAGCAGATAAAAACAATGACATCTTGAAATTTGCAAACAAATGTATAGGACTAGAAAAATCCATCCTGAGTGAGGTAACCCAGATGCAAAAAGACAAACACGGTATATACTCACTCATAATTGAATATTAGACATAAACAAAAGATAATCAGCCTACATTCCATAACCCCAGAGAATCCAGGAAACATGGAGACTCTATGAGAGACATACATGGATCCCCATGGAAATGGCAAAGAACCAAGATCTCCTGAGTAATTAGGAGAGTTGGGGGAAAGGTAGAGGGTAGAAGGGGAGTGAGGAAGGAAGAAAGGGAGAGGAGAACATAAGGGGTTGGGAAGGTCAAGTTGGGGAAAGGACAGAGAGGGAGAGCAAAGAAAGAGATATCTTGATAGAGGGAGACATTATGGGGCTAGCGAGAAACCTAGTGAAATTACCTGGTGTGAGTGAGAAGAAAGCATGAAACATGCAACAAACCCACTTAGGAATTTATTAGAGGAGACGTGTACAGGCCTGGTGACGTCAGTGTGCAGAGAGAGAGAGAGAGAGAGAGAGAGAGAGAGAGAGAGAGAGAGAGAGAGAGAGAGAGAGCTGAAGATGACTCATCCAGTTTGTAAAGGCTGCCTAGCTCATGTGCACAGGGGGATGATGTAGCTATGTCATACACAGATAATGGGAGCTCACAAATGCACGCAAGGGCTTATATAGCTGCTGCATCATATGTAGGTGATGCAACCATGCCGTGGGTCATGCAGAGCCTTTTAAGGTCCCAGGGGTGACTAAGTAGTTTTGCCTGAGGGCTTGTCTGCACATATGTGGCCCTGGAACCTGGAAGTGCCAGCCATGCTGGTTTGGCTAAAATCATAAAACTAGATCCCAGGAATCCACAAGAATGACCGCAGCTAAGAATCTAAGCAGTAGTAGAGAGGGTGCCTGAACTATACTTTCCCAGCATCAGATTGATGATTATCATATCTGCCATCATATAGCCTTCATCCAGTAAGTGATGAAAGCAGGTATAGAGATCCACACCTAAACACTGGGCCAAGCTCCTGGAGTCTATTCTTATAGATGGAGGAGCCATAATACGAGCAAAGGGATCGAGACCATGATGGGGAAACCCACAGAAAGAGCTGAGCTGGGCAGGTAAGAGCTCACTGGCTCCATACTGATAGCTAGGGAACCTGCATATAAATGAACAAAGTCCTCTGAATGTGGGTGACAGTTGTGTGGCTTGGGTGGGTGGTGTAGGAGTTCCTTCTGTTTGTATGTTGCTTTCATTGGTTAATGAATAAAGAAACTGCATTGGCCTAGTTGATAGGGCAGAATTTAGGCAGAGAAAACAACTAATGCTAAGAGGAAGAAAGGTAGAACCAGAGAAGCCATGGATCTTCTGCCTGAGATGGACACTGGTTAGAATCTCTGGTAAGCCACTGCCATGTGGCAATACACAGATTAATGGAGATGGGTTAAACTAATACGTAGGAGTTAGTCAATAAGAAGTTAGAGCTAATGGCCAAGCAGTGTTTTAATTAATACAGTTTCTTTGTGGTTATTTTGGGTGTAAGCTAGCTAGGCAGCCGGGACAAACAAGGGGCCCTCTCCTTACAATAGGCAGGATGTGGGACGACTAGCAGTAGAACCAATATTTATCCCAATTGCATGAACTGGGTTTTTGGAGCCTATTCTCTATGAAGGGATACCTAGCTCTGTGTAGATACAGAGGAGAGGGCCTTGATCCTGCCTCAAGTGATGTGACAGAATTTGTTGACTCCCCATGGAAGTCCTAACCCTCTCTGAGGAGGGTATAGGAATGGGGTGGAAGAAAGTTGAGGGAGTGTCAGGAGGTTAGGGAGAGGAAACTGGGATTGGTATGTAAAATAAGATTGTTTTGAAAACAAAAAGTTAATCATTAGGAGATTCTAGGCAAAGTGGTGCAACACCTTCAATCTCAGCACTTGGCAGGTAGAAGTAGGAAAATCTCTAAGAGTTCAAGGCCAACCTGGTTTACAGAACAAGTTCCAGGTCACCCAGGGCCACACATTAGTGATCTTGTTTAAAAACACAAAAGCAGAAACTATTGGGAGACTTGGTAAATGTGAGTTCATTGTATAATTAATAGTTCATTCCTTCCTCCTTTTCATAAATGATTCTGATAAATTGAATAAAGACATAAATATATGTTTTTCTTTAGGTTCACCTTATTTAGCTTCTCTAGGATCATGAACTATAGGCTCAATTTCCTTTGTTTATGGCTAGAATGCACTAATGAGTGAGTACATACCATATTCATCTTTTTGGGTCTGGGATATCTTACTCAGTAAAGTGTTTGCTATTTCCACCCATTTGCATGCAAAATTCAAGATGTCATTATTTTTCACTGCTGAGTAGAACTCTAATGTGTATATGTGCCACACCTTCTTTATCCATTCTTCCTTTGAGGGGCACCTAGGTTGTTTCCAGGTTTTGGCTATTACAAATAGTGCTGCTGTGAACATAGTTGAACAAATGCTTTTCATAGTTCAACAAATGTACAACAAAGTGGTTGTACAAGTTTGCATTCCCACCAGCAATGTTACACTTCACACCTTCTCCAGCATAAGCTATTATTGGCGTTTATGATCTTAGCCATTCTGACTGGTATAAAATGGTATCTTAAAGTTGTTATTCACGCAAAAGTGGATATTAGCTGTAAAGCAAAGAACACTGACCTGTAGTTCATGATGCTAAGTAAGGTGAACCTTAAGAAAAACATTCACAGATCCACCTGGCAAGGGGAAATAAAGAAGACTGCCTGACAAAATTGGGAGCATGTGGGTGTGAAGGTGTAGGTCTCAAACAATGCCACACCAGTTTGGAATTATTATTAATAGGGTGGTATTTATTTAAAGAGGAAAAAACTTACAGATCACTGTCCCAGACAACAGCCCTCTGCACAACCAGGAAGTCTAGTTGCCGAAATGATGGAGGAAGGTCATTGGCTAATAAAGAAACTGGCTTGGCCCATTTTATTGGTTAGAACATAGGTGGGTGGAGTAAACAGAACAGAATGCTGGGAGGAAGAGGAAGTGAGATCAGAGATTCGATAGCTCTCCTGTCTGGGGCAGACGCCTCAGACAGAGATGTGATAGCTCTGCTCTTTGAGGCAGACACGCGATGAAGCTCCGACCCAGGATGGACGTTGGCTAGAATCTTCCCAGTAAGCGCACCTTGGGGTGCTTACACATATTATTAGAAATGGGCTAGTCCAGGTGCGAGAGTTAGCCGAGAAGGGGCTAGATATAATGGGTCAAGCAGTGCTTAAATGAATACAGTTTGTGTGTTGTTATTTCGGGGCATAAGCTAGCCAGGCGGCCGGGGTGCTGGGGACGCAGCCCCGCCGCTCCTATTTTAACATGGGTGGGGAGAAAAAAAAAGAGGGTGGAAGTAAAAGAGGAGGGAAGGATGGGGGAGGAGAACTTGAGGGAGTGGGATAATCAAGATGAAAGAAGGAGAGAGATGAGAGCAAAAAAAGAGATATTTTGATTGAGGGAGCCATTATGGGGTGAGCAAGAAACATGGCACTAGAGAAATTCCCAAGAATCCACAAGAATGACTCCAGCTAAGACCCTAAGCAATAGAGGAGAGGGGGCCTGAACTGGTCTTGCCCTGTAGTCTGATTGATGAATGTCTTAAATATTACCATATAACCTTCATCCAGCAACTGATGGAACAGAGGCAGAGACCCATGGTAGAGACTTGGCTGAGCCTCCAAAGTCCAGTTGCAAGAGTGGGAGGAGTGAAAATATGAGCAAAGAGGTAAGACCATGATGGGGGCACCCACTAAAACAGTTTATCTGAGCTAAAAAGAGCTCACCAACTCCAGCCGGACAGAGAAGGAACCAGCATAGGATCAAACTAGATCCTCTGAATGTGGGTGACAGTTGTATGGCTGGGGCACTGGCAGTGGCACCAGGATTTATCTCTACTGCTTGTACTGGCTTTTTGGGAACCAATTTTCTTTGAATGGATACCTTGCTCAGCCTGGATATAGTAGGAAAGCCTTGGACCTTGCCCTAAACAATGTGCCTTACCCTCTCTGAGGAATGGATGGGAGTGGGGTGGGAGGTAGTTAGAGGGGATGGAAGGAGGGGATGGAATGGGAACTGGGATTGATATGTATAATGAAAAAAGATAGTTTGTTTTCTTTTAAAAAAATAAATTAAGTTATAAAAATTAAATAAGCATAACTGAAAAAACACATAGGTATGCTGACTCTGAAAACTAAAACCACCCCTGAATGAGGGAATATCATTAATAAGATATTATTTCAATATGCCCCTACGTGCAGTGTTAGCTCCAGAGATGTGCGGCATGACATACATAGCTACAGTTAATGGAGATAACCATGACAAGCAGAATTAAACTTATCTGCATAGAAGAGTCCCCTTGTTGAAAAGTCAATGTTCATTGGCTCAGTTTAACCTTTGCAAATTGAACACCCGCCAATCTGGTCCATCTTCATTCCCATGACATAAATCAATACATGCTGGGAAATTACAAAATCATTCCTCCTGCTGCAATCAGGTCTATGTCACAACGGTGATTCCAGTACCTGTTTGCCTACCCTATTTCACTCTACAGTGTACACAATAAACTATTCCTCCTGTTCTGTTCTGAAGGCCAAAACTTTATTCCACACACAAATCCTTTTCCTATTACTGAAAGGTACAGTAGACTACTTGACTCATATTTGTAATTTTAAAACTCAGTGGTCACTGAGTTTTTTAATCTAAGAATTTAGTTAGTTAATCACAAGGACAGCATGGTAACTGCCCTGGAGAGAAATGGATGGGATCAAGGCTACCTGATTGAACATCAAAAATTTTGTCTCAGAAACATTTTTCTACAAGGCAGGAGGTTATGCTGTTCTAGACTTAATATGCCTTCCCAGGGATAAAGCATTCCACACACTTAAAAGTTTAATAAACAAAATCTTATTAAAAAGAACATACACCCAGAGGTGGCTGATGTTAAAAGAGGAGCCATCCTGGCACAGATTTTATATTCCATATATGCTGACATCCTTAGGATAAGGCTCTGGGTTGTACTTTGAACAATTTAAATAAGGACAGGAGAATACAAGTCAAGTCACTTAGGCAGATAAGAGTTTTACAGAACAAAACTGAAAAAAAAATATCTTAATATATGACTTAAAAGATAAAGAGATCATGCTGTATTATCTAAAAGACACATTCAAAAGAAGAATCAATGCCATAATCCTCACACAGCAAAGGACACAATAAACCTCTCCACATGGTAAATAATGTTCTTAAATGAACAGCTCTTCTAAGCTATTCCAATCTCAGAATAAAGTTCCTTTTGCTTCTGTGCAAGCTAGCTGAGAGGAAGGCCACAGCTGCTTCTATGAAGAACCAGGAGTTCATTTTTAACTAGCCCTGGCTGCTGACTGTCTCTAGGCTGTGACATTCTGTATAGAATTTCATTTCTTAAGCTTTATTTTATGAATATGTGTGTTTGCCTGAATGTATCAGTGAGCAATACCAGTATGGGCCAGAAGAGGGAATCAGATCCCTGGGAACTGGAGTTACCATAGTTACTGGCACTGGAACTAGTTACCATGGTTACTGGCACTGGAACCTGTGTCTTCTGCAACAACACCAAGCATTCTTAATTGCTAAGCTATCCTTCAAGCCACATTTTTTAATCTAAAATTTATTTTCATACATTTTTATTGAAATATATCACTTTTCCCTTCATTTTCCTCCCTCCATCCTCTCTCAAATTCGTGCCTTCCAATTTCTTCTTTTTTAAGTATGCGTGCATAAGCATGTGAAAATATATGAATAAAACCTGCTCAGTCCATTACAGTCAATTGTGTTTTATGGTTTCAGGACTGAACCTTCTGTTGTGGATATAAAATCAGGAACTCATCCCTACCTGAAGCTAATTAACCCACTTGCAGGGGTGTTTTACTCTTTATTGAGCAACATGACTCTCATCCCTAAGTGACTTAGGCTTCCTTTTACAGAAAACATTACTAAAAATAGAAAACTTGCAGTGGTAAATACCTCAGCTAATACTTGCTTGTAAGAGGAGGGGCCACTTGTTGGTCCCCAGCTGCTTAGAATGCCAACTTAATCACACAGAAACCATATTATTTAAATCATTGCTTGGCCCATTAGCTCTAGCTTCTTATTGGCTAACTCTGACATATTAATTTAACCCATCTCCATTAATCTGTGTATCGCCACATGACAGTGGCTTACTGGCAAAGCTCCATCCGGCATCTGTCTCCAGAAGGGCTACATGGCTTCTCCTGACTCTGCCTCCTTTCTCCCAGCTTACTTTCCCCTACCTAGCTCTGTTCCCCTATAGCTCTGCTATAGGCCCAAAGCAGTTCCTTTTTATCAATGGTAATCACAGCATACAGAGGGGAAATCCCACATCACTTGCTGGTGCCATGGCCCTGAAGTTTTATAGCTGCAGTGGAGACTATAAACACTGTCTCCCTAGTTTCCAAGGGCCTCCCAACATATCCTATTTACCATTGTCATCTTGGATGACTTTCAAATCTTGAAATTCCTCCCTCCACATTCTAAGTACCATGATTAAAGGTCATTAAAGTATGGTGGCTTAGGTGGCTTCAACTTTATTTAGTGAGGCATTAGAATGATAGGAAGCGCAAGGTGAGTAGTTACACTTCAGTTTATTGTAAAAATTCTTATCTCTGTGAGCCTAGGTCTCACCATCTGTAGAATGAGGACACTACTGCGCACCAGCCCCTGATAAATTATAATCGACTCAAAGATAAAGTAAAACAATACTTCTCATAGTTGGAAGACAGAGGACTTTAAGGCAGAAGAGCTACATTTGATGAGAGCCTTCTCCTGTTACTGGAGTTAGGACTAGCTAATATGTCCTGCCTACCCTAACTCAGCCACTTACCTTTGTTAAGCCAATTAAAGAACCAAGTTACACTAGGTGGTGGTGGTTTATGTCTCTAATTCTACCACTCTGGAGGCAGAGGCAGGTGGAACTCTGTAAATTTAAGGCCAGCCTGTCTACAGAGCTTGTACATCCAAAGCTACAAAAAAAAAAAACCCTGTCTTCAAAATAAAAGGAACCAAGATATTTGTCTGTGACGTGCTCATCGAGACAGGGTTTCTCTGTAGCTTTGAAGCCTGTCATGAAACTAGCTCTTGTAGACCAGACTGGCCTCAGTCTCACAGAGATCTGCCTGCCTCTGCCTCTGCCTCCCTAATACTGGAATTAAAGGTGTACACCACCACTGCCAGGCTTTGAAGCTTCCAAACTTAAAGGCCAGTTCTTTCTGGACCAAAAGCATGTGTTTCTGAAGTCATAGAGTTAGTTTACTTTGGCCTGTGGTGCTAACTACAGCCCTCTGATAGCAGACAGACTTTACTTCTTAAGTTTGGTATCTTTCCTCCAGCAAGTTCACAGAATGTAAAGACCAGGGTTTTTATCCCAGCTGGTTGTCTTGGTGTTTAGTATCCAGCTCTACCCTTGGTTCTTTGCACACAACCATGACAACTTCAGCAACTCACCTGATGTAGCCAAATGCCATGTAGACATTCCTCTAAGAAAAGGCACAAAGACAGCATATCCCAATTATCTCTGGACCATGTTTAGGAAGCCAATACAGAGAATTCATGGTGTGGAAAAGGGAGATGTAAAATGCAATGGAGGATCATTAAGGAAAAATTATAGCAGAAAACTCCCCAAATGTACAGAAGACAGACATCCAAATTCAAGAGGTGTATAGAACTCCCAACAGACATAATAAGAGAAGAAATATTCTGTGGTATATTATAGTCAGGATTCCAAAATATAAGAAGGAATCCTGAAAGAAATATACTCAACAAAGAGGAATATACTGAGAAACAACTCCGCAGACCCTCAAAAATTAATGTTGCAGGAAGAAAAAAAGCATAAAATGTTAGAAGCCAGGGC